TAGACTTAAAGTAAATGTTATTAAGATAATCGTACAATTTCACATTATCTCATTAATATAATATAAATTTTTTTAGCTTAAATACTTTAACTAGCACTTGTACTTAACATATAATAGATTTACAATTGTTTTGCAATCGTTGTGCATTCGTTTTATAATAAGATAACGCGATAATATAAGTCTTCAATATTATACTAATCGTTAAAACGTTTTTACGTTTTTTAAATTATTATTACACTTACAGTTTTAATTTGTCGGTCAGCTCGACCTCGACTGAGGATTTCGACTTTTCGACGTGAATTAAACTTGCTGGACGACTTCTTGAAGGCAGAATCACGCGGTACGACTGTCATGTGCGACTTGTAGTATATGGTTTTCCTACGATAAGTCGAGTGATTTTGAGCCGTGATTCAAAAATCTACAAGTCGTAGGTTGCTTACGAATATTGTAGGAAAGCGTAGGTGCATTCCACGGCGCAATACTTCAGTTCCTAATTCTTCAATGCTTTGTGTTAGCCTCATTTGTGTGCCAAATTGTGGGCCTAACACACAGAGCAAACCAGAACTCGAAATTGGAGCATTYGAGTCCTATACTACAAGTCGCAAGCGACAATCGTTCCGTTTCATCATCTGAAGCCAATATCGCCGTATCAGACATGGGCCATTTAAGTTTTTTGCTTTTATCAAATTATTTTAAAAACATATCCAGTGATAATTATTTTGTGAAGTTTGCATAGTCGCTGAACGAGTCGAGGTAATCTTGGATTATTTTATAACAGTAGATGTACTGGTCCTGKCAAAGAAAAAAGAGGGAAAATAGTATTAAGATCTGTTTGCATATGGAAATTAAAGTAATTGATATGGTGGTAGTGTTCGCCCAGGCAAAACAAGCAAGCTACCCGAGAGGGTATGTAGCGTTAGAAAAATCTGTATCATCCAATGAGCAATTTCTCATTAGCCTGCCATTAAAGCCGCCTTGCATCTTACTCTGCCARATAGACGGCGGACGAGCCCGAAATGARATATCCAGCTGTATCGTAAGTTCTACTGCTATTCACGAACGGAWMGACCGCTCTCTAGTTTTCTCTCCYGACTTACCAGCGTCTCGACAGCTCCAGGGCGATTCGTACGTATTCTTTTGACAGCCTGAAAGACGTCAGCCATCTGTTCTTGCTTCACTCGTTCGATGATCGWGTAAATGGCGCAAAATGTACCACTTCGACCGATACCATTACTAGAAGTAAAAAAAGGTAACATATTAAATATACGCTGAAAAAAGGTTGCGTTAATCCCTTGACTTCCATTCGGTAATGGAAGAGCATTCTTATTCTTATTTATTCAGTTATGGATATGTTCGTTGCTTCTTTGACATACCCGTTCATTCCATCATTTATCAATTAATAAAGACGAATTTGTTTATCTTTTTATTGTGGTTTCGCTTAAAGCCGACTAGATGATAATTTTCGTGTTTCCAATTAGCAATTAGACCTTGAGGTCGAGTGGACTACGAGCTAATAGTCCATGAGGCCGAGTCCGCGAGACCGAATGGGCTATTAGCTCGTAGTCCACGAGGCCCAGAGGTCTAATTGTTTTAGTATAAACATATTAATCGGTCAAATAATGAAAACAAATTGAAATATCCTTAAAATAATTTATAATTTATTTATTTTGATTTTCCCGCGAGTGGTCTATCACAAATTAGACCATTAGTAGAGTAGCCAATCACAGCGCAGTATGAGTGATAGACCATTAGTATGTTTATACTAATCTTTATTAGACTGACGCGGGATAGTTGTGAGAACAAGAAAGGAATTACGAGCTGATAGCGTCTCCCGCGTGTTTCTAAAACAGACTCTGAAAAATGGAAACAAAGAAAATATATTCCAATGCTTTTATATAAAATAACTACAACTCAGTTCGCATTAATATCGCGTTTCTGTGCTAAAGCCTGGCCCTTAAGGAAATTTAAGGTAACTTTTGACATTTAATTAAAGCGATTTAAGTCGATTTAATAGAAACCAATGCTAACTTAGAAACACATAGTTTTTCGCATATTTGAACCAATCAGTATGTGCGTTATATAATAGTTATATATGATCCCATTAAGTCTTTAATTAACTCCCTTCAAAACACCAACCTGCATTGAACTACCATCGGTGAACTACTCGAMTGCGCATGCCTTTGTGACTGTTCTACTTCATTTACCAAATCCAACACACTTTGTGAATTTGTCGGACAACACTTGTTCTTCCAGTTGGGCATTTGTATATGTTGAACCTGAACAGTTGCCTGAAGAAAACGAAAATTCGTTTGGAAGAAGAATCATTACTATGAACGTGGTAACTAACTAGTTTAATTGTTTATGACGTCACAGTATGTTTACATCGGAAAAATGCTCAAAATCAGTGCATATCAAGCAACTGTATAACATTCGCGCGGACTACCTGGGTTCTTTTTTGTGGGATTACTTATTTTCAAGGATGGGAGGAGACTGGGACAAATTTATAATGGCCGACATGTTGAAAAGCAATTTCTCTGCAAATTCTGTAAGTTTTAGCCATTTTAAAGCACTAAAAGATGCTACCTACTTCCTTATAAGGTAAGATTATCATATATGGTCAGCAAAAGTTTGGCAAACGAATGAATGTTTCTCCGAAGCAACTGTTTGATATGGAAATTGGAATTCATTTATATTGTATCCTTAAGTAGAACTACAATGTATCGAGTTTTTATACACATCATGTATAAATGATTGCTCATCTACATATTATTTAATATGTAAACACTTGGATCCCCTCTAGACAACAGAATCCTTGGCGTTAAAGCAATAGAATGTTTTGATGTGACGTCATAATCAGCTAGGGCAATTGAATTATCCTCGCAAGGTATCTTTAAAGTTAAATTAAAAACATTTGTGACCGATGTTAAGATAAAAGGAGTAAWTTATCTTACCGAATCGCAAGTAACATTAAAGTGTCGAGAAATAAGTTCACCGATTGTCGTTGTGTCTAACAGCTCAACAGTCACGTGACCATAGGATGAAGAACCACTCTCAGGCCAGTATTGGACAAAATTCTGTGAGAAGCATGTTAAAGAATTACGGTGAATATAGTTTTATCAATCTCTCACTTAATCAAGAAATTTACCGATATATCATTCAAACAATCATTTAACGTATCAATCAAAGGGGCCGAGACCAATAAACAACATTCTGCAAAGGATTTAACTTAAATATATTCATCAATTACCATTGTTTGTTTGTCAGTTTTAATGCGCCGGAGAGAGAAGAAAACTTGCTTAAAAGAACCACGTCGAAACAAGAGCCTTTGCGATCGTTTCTTTTGTTTTATAAATGATCTGTTCCGTGTTAAAGGGGGTTGTTGAATGGTTCAAATCAAAAGATACGAATGGTTCTTGAATCCACGTGGGCCTTTAAAAGTTTTAAGAGGGCTGTCAGTGGTTAGTTGTATGTTATATGCAGTCACCTCATTTCCCTCTTGTAAATTATTGAGCATAATGATCGTTCTAACGTCATAGTTCACAACCATGATCCAGAAATCTTCAATRGTCTCTTTTAGTGGAGCTTGCGTGACAAGGAATGCGTTACGCTCCTTGTAAGCCTGTAAATTTATAGAAAAACGATTTTATTGTTTAAAAGCAACAATTTAAATGTATAAAGTAAGGCGTRTTCTAGTCTATTCCTTTTCAATTGCTACAACATTGAACACTATAAAAATTACAACGAGGAAGAACTTTTCCGCACTTGCACCTATAAACGAATTAAACTAAAATGTTTCATTAAGCTACTTACGTCAACATGCGAAGCATTTATGTAGCTTATAGTCACATCTTCGATACCAGGTTTGTTAAGTAAAACACGGCTACGATTTACTAAATGATAAAGAAAAAGTAGAGCAATGAATATTGATAATAACAAAAATACTTAATTATAGATTGAATGAGGAAAACTAGCGTATCTTCCCCAATGTTTTATCACACATGACTTAGGTATTCTCACTTTGAAAGATAGTTTATCGTCTTTATCGTCCTTGTTTGTCTTTTTACAGATACYTACAGGCGATATTGCCTYTGTACCGGTTCTTTTTCAAGTTTTCAGGTGACCTTCCAACATYACAATCTTCTTTAGCGTAATCTTCAGTAACTCGATTAAGTCTCTGCAAGAGCAATAGTTASYTACGATGTGAAAAAATGCRTCTGAAAAGTTAAAAACGAGATTSATATAGCAGGCCGTATTAACTGCAGTGAAGAAATATATAACGAACGAAATATCATTTTTAGCTAATGCAACTTAACGTGCAAAAATATAAGACACAATAAAATGATAAACTCTAGATTAAAAACAGCATTCGCAGGTAAAAMATTTTACAAGCAAGCAARCAACAAACCTCAAACTCCAAGGCATAGCCTGTCACGTTTCGCTGTGGGTTAGTATCTGAAAGTTTTTTCATTGCGTTCTGTAATTTGTGAACTGGTATTTCTGTATTACCACATGTGAACACTTCATATAGCGCCAAATGGATAAAAACATACTGTTCCTAGAAGATAACAAGAATCGATATCAGCCAATCAGATCACATTATTAGGCAATGTTCAGCGTAGCATTTTATGAAGCAAAGCATGATGGTAGTTKTAGCACTCGTACTTATTAGAGAYCMTAAAATATATCCCTAAGAGCCGCTTTTACATTTTCTTAGTAGAAACGGTAGAACTACTTCTATATTTGCGTAGACAAAGCAAAAACGTCTTAGGAGGACTGTCGCATAGGACATTGCCTGTTACTCACGTCCARSCCCAATAAAAATGGCAAAAATTTTAACCCGCTACAACGGGTTAGCACAACCCGCTACAACGGGTTGAGAACCTTTCGATTTCTCTAAGTATACTTGTCCACCAAACCCGCTACAACTGAATCCGTTGTAGCCGGTTGACATCTAACTTTTTATAGCTGGTTACAATTTTTGCCATTTGTGTGGTGATATACTCGGTCATATAATAAATTACAATATTTACATTTCGTCTCGTTTACTCTCGAGTTTCATACTCTCGTATTTCATACCTCGGTTTGTACCATATATGGCCTGTCGTTTCTTATAGATGCAACGTAGTCTGATATTGCGACGTTTTTGAGGTGTCTCGCACGCTCCAACATGGCGTCGATCACGATGTAAGCGCCAGTCCGACCAACACCAGCACTATCAGCAATAAACAACAAAATTCAACARCTATATAAAGCACATTTTATAATACTTTGATATCAAAAGAAATACCTGCAGTGAATCACCAAAGGACCAGCGTGATCTGGATTCACAGCATTTACTTGTCGCCGCAAGCCTAAAACGGCTGTAGAATATTGTGGTACCCCTTTATCTGGCCAGACAGTGAACTGGAAATGGTTGACTTGGCGACGCTCACTGGTGTTTGACTAGTTAAACGAAAATATGCTAATGCAGTTACCCGTTGTCAAAATAACTTTCTTTAGTCTGTTTCTTTTAAAAAGCACGCCGGGCAAACATGGGATGGACTGCGAATCTTATTCATGCCAATTATATAAGTCAGACGAAGAGAAGTAAAAAAAGTGGCGAAAATTTGATTTGAACTGACACGAGTAGGATGCAATGCTTAAATGATTGCTCAAAGTAGTCGTGCATTGTTTTGTTGTTGTTGTTTCTCRATTTATATTATTTCTTTACATTAGTAGTCTCCCTCGCAGCCTCTCCTTTTGGCGGGCTTCCTGTCCCTCTACAGGATGTAGATTTTGTTGTTGTTGTTTTGTTGTTTTTGCTCTCTCTCAATTCAAATTCCTTCTCTCCATTAATAGTCTCCGTTGCAGCCTCCCCTTAGTAGCTTTGAGGACCAGAAGCCAGACAAAAAGTGTGAGGCTGCGAAGGAGACTACACCATTAGCATTGAAGACCTAAAACCATAGTGCRATGTGACTCACTTTTGCTAGTAAGAGAGTTCTTATGACGTAATCAGGAAACATCTCTGTTTTATGGATCGATACTGTGATTTYGCCGTGCGTTTCTTTATCTTCTGGCCAGTACTGATGGCATTTCACCTACAAAACAATGTCAAATGATTATGACATCAAATTTGGTATCCTTTTCCTCTGTTAATTGACCTTTTTGTCCTTTTTGTGCTTTTAAAAGCATGGAAATATGTCAATCTTGACTTTTTCTCCAAAATTTCATGTAGGATACCGCAGACCAGGCACATCATGAAAAACCGGAAACACCCGTCAGTTAATCAGAGCGCTCAAAAAAAATTCTAGGATATCCGGCACCGTGATCGTGGCTTAATTCATTTACATACTAAAAAGTTAAGGTGATTTAAACTGCTTCGCTATATAACATACAGATTCCAAACCTTTGATCCTTCTTTCAGATTGGTCAGCATGACTATAGTGTATGAATTCACTTCCCATATCATTTGCCAAAAATCAGCAACAGTCTGCGGTGTAGGACCTGAGGACGCAATATGATAAATTGCTTCATTCATCATGCTGATTAATCGAGTAATAGGTGCATGGTGGAWTTTTTTAGACAGGAAGCAACTTTGAATTATGGCTCTTGAACTATTATAAGTAAACATATAATTGGTTAATTCAAATTAAGTCATCTGTGACATAATACATGATATATTCATTTTGTTAGAATTGAGTAAATTTATTTATAAGTCAATTGTTTAGATGGTGATGTTAAGTTTTGGTACCTTGTGTTGCAATGTATGTCCTAGTATTTCCATTATAGCCCTGTAAAAACACACATATCATAACTTAAACATCTATCCAAATCATGCCGCATCTACTATAGCACTGTCTACTTACTCTACTTACTCTACTTACTCTAGCACTGTCTACTTACTCTACTTACTCGCTACTGCTGCAGCTGTTAATCCGATTGGAGCTGCTACAACTCTAGAATATCGCTGAAGTTACTAGATACTGACAACGGAGTCGGTTATAACATCTATGAACGTAGGTCACCTCTGTGACGTTACTCACCTTGATGTAAGATGCGTTGACGTAATCTGAGTTTTCGTCATCAGCCTGTCGACTTATTACCACACGAGAATGGTCATCTGATAAAAAGAGAAAAATACTAAGGATGTCGACATGTGCACATTTTCCGTATCGAACGATCTATACTGCTAGAAGGCTATTGTTAAATGGTGGAAAGTAGCTGTAAACAATTAGTGTGAGCTTCGTCTGTATTTCTAAAACAACAGTCACGGAAAAAAGAATTTCAACATCGTAAAAAAGTAAGTAGAACATTTATTGTCGGTTCGGATGTTAATGCTTCCTTTTCTTTCTTCCGACGATTGCTTAACGTCCGAAACGTCGGTAAGTTGTTTCAATTAATTAATAACTTATTACAGTGTTAAAAGTTTTTTTTTATGCACAAAAATTTCCTATTATTAGTTTTGCCGATTCATTAAAGATTTAAGGAAAATGGGAAGGAGATATTTGAACGTATAACTAAGAATAGACTGCACTCACAGGTAACAATGTTGGCATAACGGTTCTTCTTCTTGTTGGCGGGTTTCTTGGCGATATCCACTGGGAAGGCATGGGTATTTAACAACATCTTAAATAGTAAAGAAACATCAAATTAGATGCTTCTGTTACATACAATAGTCTCTAGCACGGTTCTCTGCGCAATCTTGAAAGGTAGCCGTGCCTTTACATCGAAGCCAGACAGCCGTTGGGCGTGCAATGAGGGATACCTTTGAATAATTGTCTGAAGGTGTGAAAGAAGGTTTCTACCATTGCTCCCTCAACGGTCGTCTCGCTTCGATGAAAAGGCAGGGCTACCTTTCAAGATACCGCAAGGAACCGTGACGGAGACCCGGGGGGGGACTCCCTAATATCAAAGGGCGGGGGTCCTCGGCGTCCCTTTTAGGGTTTGAAATTAGTATTTTTGGTCCCGCTTAGGGTGATCATGACAAGAATTCCTACCAACTCTGTTTTGTGGTCCCTTTTAGGGTATACGGCGACCCTAAGCAGTCATAAAATGGCAACGTCGGCATAAACTCAATACGAGCCGACGGTGTTCGATGATTGTGTAAAATCACAAATAAAATCGGTAAACCAAAACAAAATGACCTGTTATTGATTGGTCCCTTTTAGGGTTGAAATTTCAGCACTGCCACGCCCATCATCTCACAATAGAGGTCCCTTTTAGGGGTCATTTTCACAATCTCCGCCGAGGACCCCCGCCCTTTGATATTAGGGAGTCCCCCCCCCGGG